GTCAAATAAATTATGATCTCATGACATCACTATCGATCTCTCAAAGTAAAATGCTCTGATACCAATTGTGGATCGTTGCGCTTACCGGTACACTAAAAGCAATCGCTGATAGTGTAGCACGCTCCTCCCCCTTTATAGCACATGCGAAGCGCCACGCGGTTCGATTGCACCAGCAGGCTGGCTGGCTGTTGCTGGCACCGCATACCCGCGGCCCAACAAAAAAGATGCATGTTTGTATCTCATCTTAATCAAGAATATTCGACATTATCTATCTCTCAAAGAAAAAGATGCATGTTTGTATCTCATCTTAATAAAGAATGTTCCACATTATCTTGAGCATATACTAGTACTAAAATAGGCCTAGAAGCATATTCACAAAAATAAATAAATAAATAAATAAATAAATAAAGTTCTTAATGTTTCATCTAAAAGAACAAATAATGTGAAAAGTTGGACTAAAATCTACACAGTACCTTAACGGTGGGTATTGTTGCAATTTTTGGTAGGTTACGTGCAATAATATTGATGCAACTTTTGTCTTTAATTTATATCCATGCAACAATATTTGGACTTCAGTTATACTTTTGAATAACGTACGGCTAATATTTCTGTTTTTAACTTGAGGCTCGGGGCATAATTGATTTCGAGGTGGTTTGACAACAATGTTTTTTGGCTTATCAGACTAATCGGCCAGCTTTTTCACCAAACACGTAATTTTTGTTTTCACGTGCTAAATTGTGTAATAAGCAGAAAAAGTAAGGTTGAAGTTACTTTTCTGCGTGTATTGGCTGAAGTTACTGTAGATGACAAATTTAACTATTTTTACATGTAATTTTTTCTCTATTTTATTAAAAAATATTTTTTTAAATAATTTTTTCCTAAATCAGCAGAATCAGCCAATGCAGCCACTTCAGCCAGAACTTCATAAATTTCAGCAGAATCAGCCAAAAAACCGATTTTGGTGCTACAAAACGCGCTCTTGGACTACATATTATAAGCTTTTGAATATTGTACATTTTAGGCTTGTCCTTGCCACTTCGTTGCTCTCTAAAGTTTGGACGTTTGCCTTTATTTATCTAGGCGAACCATGGGTTATCTCTGTCGAGCAGTTACTGATCAATCAGTTTATCATTTTTTGCTTCATGTATAAAAAATTGCAGGTTATAAGATTTAGTTATACGATAGTTAGTAGGTTGAAGGTACCACGTGAGAGTTGGGAGACAAACAATAATTTAGTTACTACTCCGTATAAGATTATTGTTATCTGTCTTGTGGCCGGTTAGGGACTCAATTTGCTTTAATGTATGAATAAATCTGAATAAGTCTGTGTATAATTGTGAGGTGTGTGACCGGATTGGTGTATCTGTTTGGAGAGATCGAGATGTTTGTCTGCGAGTTATTTATCTTAATATAGATTTTTTATAATAAAAAAAATAAGTTATATGAAGTATGGTGTAGAAATTATGAATCACTAACATTACTTCTAGAAAAGTTATAGACAAAAATGTAGTTTGGTAACTTTTAATGACTAAACTCGTATTTAAATTAAAGTTGCTATGATGTAAGCTTTGAATCCAACTTATAATCACCAAAAGTTATTAAATCACATTTTTATCCATTACGTACTCTTTAATTAATAATATTTTAGCAGAAACCTCAAAATTATGCCCACAAGAATGATTTCATTTTTCAAAAAGCCTCACAAAAATAGAAGCACGGTAGAAGGTGACCTAGACATGATTTCTTAAAGTGAGATACTTCTTCATACAATTGTCCTATATAAAGAAAAATTATTAGGATTAGGAAGAGCCTTGGAGTTTAAGCTCTTTCTTGCTGATTGGGCTAACAATAACAGCCGGGACCACCACGGGCGAAGCGAAAATTATATAGGCTTTGTTTGCAACCACTGTGCTTAAATAAAAGCACTTTTGGGGAAAAAGTGATTAGTAGTTAAAGTTGGTAGTGTTTGGTAAAATAAGTGTTTTTTGTGTAATTGAAAAAAGTAAAAAGTAGATTCTACACGGAAGTCAAGAAAGTAAAAGTTGGTAGTGTTTGGTAAAATAAGTACTTTTTTCTTTAAAAAAAGTTAAAAACACTTTTTTTAATGGATTGCAAACAGACCCATAGTGGCGAGGGCCGAGATGAAACTACCCCAACCAGAGACTCATTGGAACATTTTATCTAGAAGTGGTTGAGACATGAGTGAAACAAGCAATGAAGAAAACCCAAGCAAACATACTTAAATATTTACACATGATCAAATCCGGATGCTAAAAAATATTTAAGAATGGATAGACAAATCGACCAATGAGAAAACTATCTAATTTACTAGGGGATGTAAAAAAACCCGACCCGCAATGACCCGCCCTGGCCCGAGACATTTGGGGCGGGTCCGCCCCGCCCTGTCTTGCAAATGGGGCGGGTCCACCCCGCCCCGCCTATACAATGGGGCGGGTCCGAGTATTAGAATCGACCCGTGCCGCCCCGCCCCGACCCGCACAATATATAAGTATACATAATTTTTCTTAAATTATACTACAAATATATTTCAACATACATATGTGTGTATAGAATAAATCATAAATTCTTTGATCTTATAATATATTAATACGGAGATATATTAGAATGAGACAAATGACGAATTATTAATGTCTTCTTTATATATAGCATTTTAATACATATATTCAATTATTAATATAATTAAATAGATTAACTATTCAAGTATGAGTAATTTTTCCTTAATTTTTGAAATTTTTAGCGTATCATGAATTTGATTTAATATATTAATGTTTAATTATTATTTAGAGATACACTTTATGTAGATTCAATTGATAACAACTTCTCACAAAATAAAAAACATACTAGCTAATTATGTTACGGCAGGGCGGGGCGGACTCGCCCCGCATGGGGCGGGTCATGGGTCAACAAGTTTGGACCCGTGCAGGTCACGGGGCGGACCCGCTCAGCCAAGTCACGGGGCAGGTCCGGGTCTTAGAGTACCCGCCCCGCCCCGACCCATTGCCATGCCTAATTTTACTCGTTTTTAATTGTGCTTATCAATCTATCAGCAATTGCGATTATTTTGAAAAACATAAATACATTAATACAATATAAACTTGTAGTATTAGATAGGAGTCAAAATGTGATGAAGTCACGAAATCATTTTACCTTTGAGAATTTTAAGTGACAATATGAGCTAATAGAAGAGAATATTGAAATCAAACCACTATGTACATGGGATGTTTGGACATGAATAGGTTTACCAGATCTATCCCACTAGCATTTACGAATCATTTATTTTGGGTTGACATGTTAATTAGGCGGCATGGTAGTAGTCCATACTCCATACTCCGTCGTTGATGAGGAATTTGAATCCGTTACCAGCTATCTCTTTATTCAAATACACCACTCAGCTCTAACACTCCTAATAAGAGTGTTTAATATTTGAATATCTTAATCCAAACATGTTGATCTTTAACATAAAACATAGACCTAATAATAATAGGTCAGAAAACACAACAAACAAGGAATCTAAAACCTTTTCAGTGACATTGTGATTGACTGAATCGGCTTAAATTGATAAAAATTCTTGCTAAAATGGATTAATTGTGAATTATTTAGAATCTTTATTGAAAATGTATTTTTTTAAATCTTTCTTAACTTCAGTCGGGATTCATTCATAAAAATAACTCTAACTTTACTTATTTTTATAATTGCACAACTCTGCCTGAGAAATTAAAAATCACGAGTCTGATAGAAATAGGAGCTATCAAGCGCCTTATTAGTTATTATGTTCCATAGCTAATTAAAAGTCTATAATGACCTTGATTTCTTATTCATCACATGCAAATGAAATTGCTCCTAGGAGGATCTTTCGGAGTTTGGGAGAAGAGGACGTCTTTGAGGATTAGTTGTGGGAGGGGGGAGGGGAGAAGTCTAATCCTTTCTTTTTGTTTGGAGTTTCAAATTTGAAAAGAGAAAGATTATAAAGGAATTATAATTAAATTCACTTAAAGGTATGATTAATTTAAATAGTTGAACATGTATTAACTCTAAAGGGGAAAATGATATCCCAAACTTTGAAAGTATGTGGGATAAATAGTCGAAACTTGCATATACAATATATATATGCCCTGAACTTTATGTAAAAAGTCATTTTCGCACGAATATTATATGTTTTGTACAAATATGGATTTATTGCAATAAGCACATAATCTAAAATACTTTAAGATTTGTTTGGGTGCAATTACCATTTTAAAGTATCATTTTTGAACAAATAATATTACATCCGGCATAATCTACTTTTAATTGCATCCTCATAAGTATTTTGTGTACTCTGGTACCTATTTAAAAAATGGAGTACCGTACCCACCACTCACTTGATTAGTCCAGATCATTACATCATTTTTAATTTAGATTTAAATAATTCAACTGCATCATTCTGATTAGTCAATGTGGACAAAGCTCTGCTGCCTTAAGGGTATGATAGAATCTACCTTTTAAATTATGTACATAACACGTACCATAAAATTATATTTGTAAAAAAACATATAATCATGATGCTAACGTAACTTTTTATACTATAAGATTGAGGTATACATATGCAAGTTTTGGAGTACTTATCTTACGCCTCTTCAAAGTTTGAGATATTTAAATTATTTCTTTATTCTAAATTGAGTTAAAGTTACCATTTAATTAATTACTATTCAAAACCCCAATTTGAGAAGGGGCTTGAGAATTACAGGAATACTTCAAAACTGTTTCTTTCAAAAAGTTTAAAGTCCTAAAAAAGAAAGGAAATATTACAAACTCTCGTCAGCCTCTCATCTCCAAAACCTCTCTCTCAAAACATGGGTAAGTTGGAATGTTGGACTGAACAAAATTATGTTCTCAACAGTCCAATAACTCCCAAAAAGTGACTGGAAGAAAGAGTTCTGTTGGCCCATATTTCCATAATCCACCCCATAATGGGCCTCCTGGATCTGTCACCCTCGAGTCTGATTGTGGCGCGGGTTATACAACCACTGGTCAGATTAATTTCGCCCTAAAAACCGTTTAACCAGTTGATGTACAAAAAAAACTGCAATGGCGAAGGACGGAGGAGGGGAAGAAAGCGTGGAGAAGGAAGGGCACCACCTATTGGGCGAACCAACCTTCAAGCAGCTGGAGAAACGGCGCTTCAAGTGCGTGGAGACCGGTCACGAGCTTCCGGCTCATGCCAGAGACTCGTATGCCCGGAGCAAGCATTGCCGTTTAGGCCTCATTGATGCAGCTTTGGCTACTAAAAAGCCCATCCTGAATATGTTCTCTCAAGACCCTCTTTCCAGGTAATCCAACTTTTTCCTTCTTCCAGAATCTGGCATCTGAATTCATATATACTACTTCGTATAGTACTAACTCTATTTATTTGACTACTGTGCTGTATATCATCAAGTGAAATTCTCATGTTATGGTTGTCACAATTCTGTTATATCCAACGATTTTTACCATTTGAGTTATGATTATTGGCAAATTATTAGAGAGATGCAAGAGAATTGTGTAATTGAATATAAGTAAAGTTTGTAATTTTAGCTCTAGTTTATGTTATTTTTGGATGATATTATTTTATATGAGCTCCAGTACTTGAATCTCAAAGTCTGTGGCTGGGAATTCAAAAGTAATCTGGATTTGGATATGACTCAACGCACACACCACCAAGAAAATTTCAATCCATAAATTCATATTGATCAATTCTACAATAGAGTTCCAAAAACTTTATTTTGCTGTTGGGATTGTTGCAGGTCAAAATTAAAATGCAAGTTGACTGGCCTAATTGTTAACAAATCCGAGGAACATATTTGGAAACATATTAACGGGAAGCGCTTCCTAAGAATGTTAGGTCGGTGATCTGTCTTTTGTTTGTTTTTGTACTCCATAGTGGGTTTTGAGACACATGTCCCAAAACTGCATTTTTGTGCCGTTAGTTTTGTTGATAATTTGACATGCACCCAAAAAATTAACAGAGAAAAAGGAAGCTGAGCAGAAGATGCCAGATGATATGCTCCAAGATGAGAAAATTGAACAACAATTGCAGGAAAAGACAAAGAAGAAAGCCAGTGGTTTGAATAAAAAGAAAAAAGAGAATGAAGAGAAATCTGATAATGTTATATCCAAAATGAGAGATTCTCCTGGGACTGACAGTGATAAGGAAGAATCTGAGGACTTCTGGTATCCTCCGCCTGGAGAACGTTGGGATAATGACGATGGGGGCGATAGATGGGGTTCTGGCTCAGAGCCAGAACTAGAACCAGAGAATAACGATTCTATTGCTCAAGGTATGCACTTGAGTCCAATTTTGTTTAACTAGGACTAAGGAATTATTTAGTGGTTCAGCTCAGGATTATGTAATTAAGAAAGCATTCAGGTTCTTGTATGGTAGTCTTATGATCAAACTGAGGAATTGATACAATTTTAGGTGTAACTTTTCAAGGCACATTGAAATGTTGTAAATGTAATCAAATGCACATGTGATGTAAATTTGCACTAGAAGTACAGTCATTTGGTTACACTGCATTGCATTACGGCTTATCAACATCAACTTCGTTCAGTGTATGACCTGTTAGGCAATGAGCTGTTTGCATTAGCAATTGGTTGCTTGATTAGTTGTTTGACGTTAGCTTCGGTCTACATAGGATGCTTATCAAACAATACATGTAGCTTTTTTACATGGTCAAACAGCTAACTTTAAATGATAGAGCCAAAGCCCAATAATATCTTTCCACCAAATGTAGCCTATATGTTTTTATCTTTCTTAACTGTTGAACATCGTGGTTTTACTTTGCCATCGATGAAATCCATGCCAAACATGTTTTTGAGTTTGCTATAGATGGAGTTCATACCCAACTTGTTCTTACTTTGCTTCAATATTACTTGGTTTTCTGGCAGATGAACTGTCTGAAGAGGCTGCCCATGAAGCGAGAAAACTATCTAAGCAGTACGTTTCAAATTGCTTTCTGTGAATCTTGACAGTCTTTTCATTTATCATGAGTACAAATGTGTTTTAGACTAGATGACAGTCTTTTCATTTATCATGAATAATTAATAGTTGCTTGAATAACAATAATAATAATCATATAAAGGCTTTCCATAAGCTGAATACGGAGTATAATATATCTGTATCTGTTCTTGCCTTAAAGCATAGAACAAATCAAAGTAATTGAAGAAATGAAATGAAAGTAAACAAAATATAAAAAATTATTGAAGATGATTTTTTTACACAATGTTCTATGTGAGAGACTAGTGTCATAATTTAGGATTGGATTTAGGCCATTCAATTGAGTTGTAAAGCATTTGCATTCAATCAAGTAACCAACTACAAAATTGAATCTAATCCATTAGCTAGTTGAATGGACAGTTTTATCTGACCTATTATTCTCTCTTTAATATTGTCATACAATCAGACCATTTGAATTGAATTGCATATTGCCATATTCATTTTAAATCCTACTCCTCAAGAGATCCCAACAACTAGTTAGTATTCGATTGAGTGAGCCTCTTGAACCTGTAGTTGAGGCAGGAAGAATGTCTGCTGTGAGGCAGCGAGGTGCGATTGAGAATAGAGGAAGAGTTTCATGTACTGCGAAGTAATTGGTGTGATCTAGGGGTTTTCTTGTGTGTCTAAAATTAATATTTGTACGCTAGGTTTAGCAAGGGTGATACTTTTAATCCATTACCTGATAACTTAAAAAACAAGAGTATATTTTTTCTTCCAAAGATTGCCCGGGATGACAAAAGATGCACCTGGAGATTGTGTGACAAGATTTTACTCTGATATCTCTGTTTTCGTGACTGTCTGATAGTAAAAAATGTGTTTGTTTTGAAGGGCGAAGAGAATGACCCTTGAAATTGGACCCAGCAGCTTTGCCCCAAGGAAGAAAAAGAAGAAGACAGATACTGCCTCGTGAAATCATGATTATATGTTTATTATAATCAGATCAGAGTACACCAATTTGCATGATCCGGTCAATTATGTATTTATTTAAGGTTTCTTCCCAGAAGAAGCCTTTGTGAAATATTTAATTTTTATGTTCTTTACGAGGAAAAGGTTTTCTATATAGGCACTGTCTTTCTGGTTAAGGGAAGCATAAACACATTCTTGCTTAGCTTTGTTATACTCTTATGTTATGTTATGATCAAGGATGCAAATCTATCTATTATTACTATTACTATATATATAATAATAATACGAGTAGCAAAAGAAGTCTTGCATAGCAAGTTCCCGCCTAAAGATGCATTCTAGAAGCATCAGGTCAGTTTCTCAACATTTAATTTTTAATTAATTTCAAATTGATAATTATACGAAGTCAATGGGCATAAGGACGGAAGAAACAACAAGACATTAATACGTAGTATAAACCGGCGGTCAACTAACACTGGATGTATCGATAGAGTATGCCGGAGAAGATATTAGAGAAGGGTAAAAGGCACATTGAAATTGGAAAGAGAACACATGGGAAAATGAAAAGACAAATATTGTTTTTAAAAGAGTTAAGTGGTACTCCTTGTGTATATGGTAATCCTTTGATTCCTTTCATTAGCTTGGGCACCATATATATACACGGTAGCTCTATCATACGTGTGCCAACATAATCTAGAATTTTGCCTTTATAAAGCTTACTACTGCATGGCATGAAAATTTAGGTGGTGCATGAGTAAGTAAGGTAATACGATAGTATTACTGAAATAAAGTTCTTAAAGAGGAAGACTGCATCTATTTTATTTGACTTATTTACGGCAGGCTCGGTCCTGAAATTTTTTGGGCCCGGGACAATACAAATAGACTGGGCCTTAGGGATAGCGCGAGAATGTTTATAATGTTCTTGTTGTTATAAACATCTATAATTTAAAATTATACAATTTTAACGTCAAAATACTAGTATAACACATCAAAAAAACTAGCAAAGCATATGGTTAGAAAATATATAGAGGGTATTGATAAGTGACATTCAAGTATACATTGTACCTAACAGTCGAGTGAAACAAGTAGTGCAACTATTAGGCGCAATAAAAAATTTGAATTAAGGAAAGTTGTGAACGTTATATCTTGTATAAGGAGTAACTTTTCATATTATAAATCACATTTTCAATAGACAAAAGAAAATTCTAAGTTTCTAAATTGTGGACATACACTAAAGTTCAATCTTTCACTAAATGAGAGAATCGGAGGAAATTTGTGAAATATATCAATGAATTTTGAATATACATAAGGCATGTAAACTAAAAGATTAAAATTAATGTAATAATCCTTAATGATCCAAAAGAAATGGTGAAATATGTCCCAATAAAGTTCTTAAATTTATTCATTGGAAATACATACTACGAATAAATATAAATATCATCTATCATATCAAAAGCACTTCGGAGACTTAGGATGTTTTCTTTTGGACTGAAATCTGCTGGTCTGGATTGGTCTCGTCTAATCTGGTTTGGTAAATGCATGATCTTTGTGTATTTTATAACTATGAAAGTCTGGTTGATATGATCTGGTTTGGTCTAGGACTGGAAACAGTTCAAAAGGATACATCCTTAATTTTCAAGATTTATAATTTTCTATATTTCAACTACGTACTTTTATATGTTAGACATTCTGTATATAATTTTTTTAGCTGAGCATGTGAGCAAGTATTGTCTTTTTCGTTTAAGCCATGTCTTGCTAAAAATTTAAAATATGTAACTTAAGGAACATAACAAAGGAAAAACTGAAAAAGTGTAATCTAACAAGAAAATAACGTAAGAATTCAAATTAAAATAAATAACACAGACTCTAAGCATAACTTACGTATGTTTCAAGCCAAAGATGAAAAATTTGAAAGCCATTTAATCATATATATGTAGTTTCTACATGCACCAATTAATGTGAAAAGATATAGTGATAAAATATTTCAAAATTTTAGATAAAATCAAGAGTAAGAAATAAAGAATGGACACCTTCCAAAATTATTTATCTTATAAATAGATACACAAAAGGTACAAAAAATTTATAAGTTAGATTCCAATGGAAATTACTAAGTGATAATTTAGGTAAAGGAAATTTTTCCCAACAAAAGTAAACGTATTCTGAAATTTAAAATAAGTTTAATTCCTGTCAAACTTGAAAATACACTCATATTTAAATTTTAGTAATGCAAAAAAACTGACTAATATTTATATATTCTTTTTTTTTAAATTTGAAAAAAGAGATTCTCATTTGAAAACTTATTACATTTAACATTTGAAATTTGATTTTGAACGAGGTGCTGACTCAAATATAATATGTGGAGACGTCGAGTAAAAAAGTGTGTTCAACATTATGAGAGAACTTTTGAAATGAGAAACATCACTAATTCACTATTATGAAGAATGAGACGTCAAACTGCATAATGAGAAGTATAGTTAGAAAAGTGAAGCTCCATTGATGAATCGTTATTATGTAGGTAACCATATAGGTTAGTAAAAGTCTGGCCGGGTACTGCATGTGTTACGTGATAGTTTGGACTGTTTGAAATTTGTAAAATGTGTAATACTACGAATGACATTTCTCCATATTAAAATACACATTATGTTTTTTTTTTAAATACACATTATGTTGTACATTGAAATTTGTTTATTCGTTGCAAATGGCTTTGTGTATTTTATTATTACTACTTCATCCGTATGATGATTTATGATATTGATATTTTGTGGTAATAAATTGTTTTTTGTCTATAATTTTAATTAATAATTTTAAAGTAAAATTTTAATCCGTGCATGGTGAAATACTAGTTTCTCTTAAATTGACGGAGAATTTAAAAAAAATCATTTTAACTTTGAAAGAATCACTCGTAATGATCATAATTATGCAATCGCAATTGGTTATCCAACTATGTGTAAATACTAAATGCATTCTACCCCATATTAATTTTATTTTTACCAACTACTACGTTAAAATGGGACTTCCCAATTTTTCGTGAAAGTGGGTTATCAAATTTTGGACAGCGGCCTTCGAGCAAAAAAAAAAATTTGGACAGCGGCAGTCTCTAGGTCTTTTCCTAGTAGTTTGTACCGGCGGCGACAGCGATCGCCTCGTCCGGTGAGGGATTTTGCTCTCTGTCAGAAGGCTGTGGCTTTTCGTCGGGCTTCGTGGTGCCTTGAAGATTTGGCCTGGGGTTTCTGAAGCAGCGCCGACGGATCCAACTTCGCCGGGGCTGGGGCAATCGGTCATCAGTGCTGTGCGATTCAATTGGACTGTAACTCCATTGTTCTGAGGAAAGGATGAGCATAATAAGCTGGAATTGCAGGGGGAAGATTCGGGATCGGAAAAATTCAAGGCCGATGATGGTTATCTCCTACGGGCGAAAGAAGACGAAGGGATGTTGATTCGTCCCCCTCCCGAACCGCCGCCTTGGAGGATGTGTGCTACTAGGGTTTGGAAAATTATTTCTATTTTTGTTTTAGTTTGTTTATGTTTTTACTTCGAACTGCATGTTGTTTTGTTTGCCATATTCGCTTATTTTTGTCAGACTCTTACATTAGGTGGGGGTGATGAGGGTTTTGCTCTGGCCACGTTAGGCTCATTTAGACCCACTACAGGATCAACGAATCATATTGCTCTGTCTAGGGTGATTGGTTCTCCAGCTGGTTCGAGGGTCAGTGGCTGGATGTGTTTCCTTTGTCGTTTGTATCCCTTGTTCAATGTTTTGTTGTCAATATAAGCCTCCTTGTTAAAAAAAAGACTACTACATTAAAAAACAAAGCAAAGAATCAATACAAACCATATATAAGGATAATTGATAGGGATTATGAGAATCAATGATATAAGCCTCCTTGTTCAATGTTTCGGTTTTTATTCCTTTTTTAAAAATAAAAGCATAATCAATTATTCAGAAGCCGGTTTCCCCAGTTTCTAAAAAATGCTTCTAAGAGCAATTGTTTTTGTTATCTTCTAAGAGCAATTTGGAGAACCCTAAACTCCAGAAGTATTTTTGCATTTTCTCCTAAACACTTCAATATTTGTTTGTGCTCTTTGAAAGAGCATAAGCAGTTTTAAAAATTAGATCCAAACACGCCCTAAACCTATTGATCTATAGAACAATATATTAAAAATATACTAGTATTTTATTAATAAAATAAAAGAATAAAAAATTATATGAAAAATAACTAAAGTGGTTCTATAAGTAACTTAAGTCAATTCAGCCAAAAGAATAACTCAATCTTTCTTAGGGCCTGTTTGGTAACACTGAAATTGGCTGAATCGGTTGAATCTGGTGAAATTTATGAAATTCTTACTGAAGTGGCTGAATTGATTAATTTTCATGAGCTATACAAAAATTATATTTAAAATATATTTTGTTAATAAAATTAAGAAAAAATTACATAGAAAATAGCTAAAACGGTGCTCCACAGTAACTTCAGTGATTTCAGCCAGAAAAGTAAATGCAATCTTATTTATTTTGATTATTACTCAATTTAGCGAAAATAGTCAAATGTTATGTGTTTGATAAATAAAGTTGACTGATAAGCTGAAAATAGGAGATATCAAATGGGCTCTTATATTTATAACTCCGCAATTCAGCGCTTGAAATCAATCAAAGGTTACATACATGTCTAGGCTTTAACTGGCCCAACCCGAACCCGGACCGAACCTGGGCTTAACAAAACCCAACTCGGAGCGAATATCATAGGCTTTATTCCGGTCCATAATTTTCATAACACGAGTCCTTACGGTAATTTCCGGGTTTAGGAAAAACCCGATCCAAACCGCACTGATCCCACCCCTAGTCATGACACACAAGATAAGGAAGAAGCTACGGAAGTGTGTGTAAATATGCGTCTATGCGATGCATTGGAGATTACATTAGATGTTAATCCCAGACCCTTCAAGGATTTATATTGCATTTGAATGATTTTGATTTAGTTTTTCTCTTAAACAAATTTATACTTATCTTGAGTAGTTTGGTTCAAGCTTTTTATTATATAAATCTATGATGCTGAATATGTTAGAAATTGAATATCGATAAATAATTGTGATGCTCTACTGACAAAATAGAATAATGATCCAATCACAATGTTTTCAACCGTTATACGAACAAGCGTAAACACAAACGTCACATAAGCGTGAAAAAGTTATCATTGATAGGTTAACGGTCATATATAGTGTGTGTTCATTCTATTAAATGTGAGAATTCAATTCAATCCTTGAGTGGTGCTTTGATATATAGAAACATTTAACAAGCCCTTTAGACCGGA